GCTAATGAAAACAGGAGCTTTATGGATTAATTAAGACGCCACGACACCGAACATGATCCCTCTGCATTGGAATTTCCTTCCAGATGAAATGCATTCTGCGAAAGGAATTTCTTACAAACGACGATGACTTCGAATAATTCGAGTGTGATCGTGAAAAACATAGCGAAAAGTCCAACTATTGTGTCCTACAATAGACAACATAATTTGTATACCGAGAAAGATGAAGAAACTCCATTGTTCTCGTCTTGGAACAGATGTTGTACTCTATAGATTTCAAATTTTAAGCGACGCTCTCCGAAAGAAAAGTGTTTAGAAGTTGCGAAGTTTTTCAACGGGGCAAGTTTTCGTGACAGGACATAAAATCGTTTTACTATGGTTCGTGGATGAACTTTCCAGATAATCTGGAATCACCATCTATGTACTGTGATCCCTTGACAAAAGATATAATAGTTTTAAAATTTTTTACTCTTTATTCAATTACAGCGTTGTAGAATCATGCCAGTTCATTTCTTAAGACTATGCTTTCCTATAAGTACCAATGATCCCTAACCCCTGTTCATCAATCTCTTCTCTGTAACGCTATTGGAAATCAATTTCAATCATTACGGTACAACACAAATATATAATACTACAGCGGAAGAGATTTTCAAAGCCTTCGAACGATCTATAGCCGCAATTTCCTCTCTTTTTTCACCAACACCAGCTATTACATTAAATTATCGTCCATTATCGTATCCCAACACCTTACCACGCTCTCTCCCTCCTCAGTGCCCTTCTAATTAAAAGGAACACCGCACGCTTCGGCACGTTTAACGACCACAGAGGGGATATCCAAGAAGTTTCTTCCTGCTAGAATTACGAAAACTTTACTCATCCGTGTCGAAACGGAATTTCATTGGCCGTTTTGCTTGAAAAAAAAAACCCGCGCGATCAACGCCGTAAATACTTGTCCGCGAAGTTAACCCCTTTATGTTCCAATCAATGGGCCGCCGGGATTCTTCCTGTACGTACGAGGAAAACAAACTCATTTGTCTGAAGTAGGAAGCCCAACGTGTCTGCTGGATGAAAAACGATGACGGATGCGGCGAACGAGCTGCATCAGCCATCTTGCGGAGGCTCGTTTCGTCGCGGATCACCCTCGTCGCTTTTTCCACCTTTCCCGTTTGCTGACGAGCCAAGCGGATTTAACGATCCCAGCCGTGTCAGCGATCGCAATTTTACGGATCGCAATCGAATCGGGCATATCCGCCTCTCTATTGTTCGTCAGCCGGCGTGTTGCGTTTAGAGTGGCATTAAATGGCACAACCGTTTCGTTTCCGGAAAATAGAACATCCGTTCGACCCGTTTAAAACCGTACACACCTGACGCCGCGTGTGCTTCAACCCTTTCTACGTCTACGAATACGAATTAAAATAACGATCAGAACGTATGATTATAAATTCGTTTTGTACAGTGTAGTACCGAGTAGTGGAACGATCAATTTTATTGAAAAGATAAGTGGAACGGAAATCGTTGTACTAGGAATATCATTGAACGTGTAAACTGCGAAACGAGCTCGTAGAAATGCTCGTGAAAACTTCCGGCAACTGAAACGACATGTCGGTTCTGTGAGCATCCTAACGTAAACTGGTACAGGTCGAGTTAGTGGAAACTATAATCGGCTTACTCGCGCTGATAAAGTAGCTGCATCGTGCTGGAAATGCCACGATGAATCTTCTTTGAATTGCGAACGGATCGTTGGAACAACCGTTTTGTATATTTAGCAACACGCCGTTTCGATATAAACAGAAATAATTTGTCTGGAATTCTTTTGCAATTTCATCCCTTTCGTATTTTCCAACAGTGAATCTATCATTAACGAAGTGAACACGGTTTCAGAAATGTTGGGATAAACTGACCCTATGAAAGGTTAACAAACAATGGCGAACACTGAGAAAATATAACATAGTAACGTTTCGGACACGATTATTCCCGTAACAATGTTTCGCGCGTATTTATCGAGTTTCATGAGAAATATTATCGCGCGTTCTGCGACGTGCCCTCCAATAAACAGTCGAACCAAGCCACGGAACCAAGTGCCTTAATATCCGTTTACGCTAACCTCGCTTCCGGTGCTCGACAGGAACCGACGAACTCGATACCGTGGAAACGAAAACAGACGCCGTTGCTACGAGCTATATCGAGATAGACGCGTTAGAATCGATGTCAAATATCGTTTGAAAAATTGCGCTCACTATTAGATTTGACAGATTTCCAATCATTGAAAATGAAATAAGATCTTGATATTGGAACTCCCCTGTTTTTACCCTCTTTCGATACTTTGACAAATTTTCGTCGACTTTGTGTTAAATTGAAAGAAGAATTTTTAATAATTTTTAAATTATTTATCAGTTTCTATTCCACCCTCTTTTGGTTCAACGCTTTAAAATACTTTCGAACTGAAAAAACTTTCCATCGCAGAGCGATGTATGTTCCCTGAGACTGTTAGGAAACTTAAGAGAGATTCATCCTCTTTAAACTGAATCTCTTGAAGATCTCTCCTCGTGACGAAAGGAATTGTGCCTTCGGAGGGAGGGAGTCAGATAATGAGAATGGGTGGCCGAAAGCTATATTGCCCGAAGGAATCGTTTAATTACATCAGAGCCAAGGTTCTTTTCATTCGTCAGGAAGTCGATAAAGGTGGACGAGGTCGGTGCGAGGCACTTTGAAGTTTCCAACGTTCGCGAGGCAAACCAGCCTGTCTCTCCTGCTTCAACGCGAATTAACCTTAATTAAAGTTCCTCGATTATTCCTTTGATTCCGCTTTAAATACTCGCGGTATCGTCTTGTTTCCAGCTTAAACGAGCAACGAACCGTAGCTGCTTCGAGTCCGCAAATATTAACCTTCAACGGAAAGTTTAATAATTTTGTAAAAGAATCACAAGTCGCTCTTTTTTCGAAAAAATTGTGTACGTCCTGTTTAACCCTCGAACAATGAAGAGAGGCATAATTTCAATCTAATTTATTTTCATTTTCTAAACTTTAAAAATTATTTTTTCAATATATTAAACCCTTTAGATTGGTAATTGTATATTTTTTCTAACTTTAGGACATGATTGACTTAGGCAAGGGAATAATTAGCTTCGTCATCGTAGAAAATAAAAGAGGAATAATTAAAGCAATTCGAGCCACGTTGATTTAATAATCCTGGAAAATTGTCGAAAGCACCTAACTCGTGAGGGAGAAAGAAGCAGGATAAAATAGGATGGAAGCGGGCCACGAGCGGAAGAGGAGAAACAGGACGTTGTCCTCGTGGAAGAGTTACCACGTTACTCCCTCGCTCGTGACGTCAGAAGAGGGGTATGTTACGTCAGTAGTGCGGCAGACTGTGTGGACCCGAAGCTTCGACGGGGTTGGGTGGTGGAGGATTGCAAAGGGAATGCAGGAGGTCTAGAGAGGGGTCGAGGCAAGGGTTGACGCGAAATAAGGTCGGCCACCCCGGATTTCATTCATCAGTCACCGTCCACGGTGGTTCACGGGCTAACTGCTTTAATCCTTCGCAGTTGTCAAGCCTGTCCGAACTACAAAATCGAAAATTCGAATGCGTGTTGCTTAAAATGTTAGTTTAGAAAACAGTACTATACATTCGACTTGATGAATCGGGATAATTAATCTTAGGGGTTGAAATGAAAAAAAGGACGTTATATAAAATAAGAATTTTGAAAGATTGAATAACACCATTGCACCGATACCATAAAATTCTTTCTTAAAAAAGGAAAGATAGAAAGATGTACTCGTGAAAATCCAACGCTTCGTTCTTTGCCATGATTCTCGTATTATTTCTTTGGCATCGGTTTCGCATTCAACGATGGAATCTCTTAAACCGAGATTTCTCAGCTGCGGTTCACGGTTTTTGCATCGAACCTTCGTTAAACGTCCCCAGGAAAAACATTTACAACGGAACGAGGAAGAAACGAAAGCTTCTTACGGTAATCGAATTTTCACGCGGCGCGGCGTCGCGAATGGTTTCTTCCAGATCAGCTTTTCTTTTTTACCTGGAATTCCGTAGATTTTCTTTCGTTCGCCAATCATCTAGCGTTAAATCGTTTCTGTAAATTTATTCTTGCGAAGAATCTTGCATTTATCGAAAGAAAATGGCGTTAAGTATCTATTCGCGTTCGATAAACGATTAGAAAGCGAACGAAATGATTGCAAGTAGTACGAGTCGACGTATGGTCAGACAAAGCCTGAATTTTAAAAAAACTTAATACTCTACTTGTTTCTTCGACTGTATATGTACCATATAATTATTGGACGATGTATTAGACGTATTAAAAATAAAATTAAATGTTATTCCCTTATTCGCCTTTTCCTGTAACATCTGGAAACGAACGGGCAACAATTCTCGTTATGCACAACTCCCGGTTAAGTACACGATATCGGGTGAAATTTTATCTACGCTGTATACAGCAGGAAATTAACGATTACACAGGTTTTATCGTGCCACGCAACATTCTAGCCAGGCCTGTATGTAACCGAGTTAACCCAGCAGCCACGTACACGACTCGAAACGATTCGCGTTTTCGATGCGGATGATTTATCACCGGGCCGAAGAATATCGCGTGCACTACAGTCTGTTGCATATTTCACGGTAATTCCGTTTCTGCCGCGTTTCCACCGATATATTTCACCTCTCGCAACCCTCAAATACGCGTTACTGCTGTTTCGTGACTTTCAACCCCCCATCGCGAGCCTCGATCTGACACCATGCCGAGGCGTGCAGCTACATACCAATCGAATTTTTCATATTCCCCGCCGTGCGAGTATCCGTCCGGATTTCAGTTCATCAACTTTTCATTCTACTGATTTTTCCGTTTTTCAAGCCAAAGAAAAAATGCTATCGTACAGAGACGAAATACACTCTTGGGTTAATCGCTGCATTTGCTTTTTCGTTGTTTAAAATTTCCTTCAGGTTTATTGCAGCGATTTTTTGAAAATAATCTAATATCTCGTCTTTTCAGGACTCATAACTTCAGGGTCGCTACGGTTAAACCGGGTGCTATGACCCAACAGTTTTCGTATAACCCCGAAGTTTCATCAAAATCTCGGTTAGCTGCTTCGCAAGCGTTTCTCCTCGAGGTGTACCTCGAAGTTTCCAAGGGTTCGTGAGGTTGCATTCGATTAACCGCAAGACGTAACCGTGCGACAAGAAACTGGGAAATTGACTGAAGACTCGGTTCGTGAAGGATCGTTTATTAATGCTGATCTGTTTTGGGTCAATTTTCAAGCATGCATGGTTCAGCTATAAACGTGAAACAATCCTTAATCCTTGAAACTCGATACGAAACGAAGATCACGTTTGATTTTAAATATTCAATCCATTTAAACGATGTGTTCGTCTCTTTAGCATATCATATTTTTTTTCTTCAGAATAAATCATTTTTAAATTTGTTAATTGTCGCGTAAATCATTCACCGGCCTCTCGTGTACGTTTCGAATTTGCATGTCCGGACAAGGGACGAATTTGAAATTTAAATGAAAAATAAACTGATGGCCTACCCTGTCGCGTTCGCTGGGACCAAGAATTTCGGACTTTAATTAAATTATTCATAGAGAAAGAGCGACGACTCGAACGTAAGGGCTGTGTAATCCTTTATTCGGGATTAATTTCTCGTGGAATTCGTAATTATCCTTCGTCCCTTCGTTAACGACGACTCGACAATCTATTCACCCCTTTGTCTACGAATTTAAGAAGCTATTAAGCTTTAATTAGAATCCACTACGAGAAATTCACCCTTAACCTTCTTACTTGCAACTGCACCGGACTCTAATCAATTAATCGAAATAATTAACCATCGTAGAAACGAATGTTTAGAAAGGTTCTGGAATCTGAGCAACGATGCTTCGTTTCGTCGTTTACGTTCGTTTAGTGTGTTTGAGTTAACGATTGTCGCAGTCAGACTGAATTTCCACTGTTTCCTGTTATCCATCGACTTCCGTCTCATCTTCCTCGCACTCGAATCTCCAACCACTTGGAAACTGTTTCTTTATCCTCCTTTCGAAAGCGTAATTGGTTCGATCCCTGCGTTTGTTTAAACACGGAATCAACTGATTCCTTTTCAATTAATTAAGAATCCTTGCTTCTACGTCCGATTGATATTTCCAAAGCGGAATATTGTTTCTCCCCTAGAAGGGAAGTAGTTTCGTTTGCAAAGGTTTAATAATGTACGAATCACGTTTCAGGTGAAGAATTGTGGATTGCCGGTGTAGGAGTTCGGCCCCAGGAGTGGCCCGGGGGTTACCCTGGGGACCTCGGGGAGCTGTACGAGCGACGACGAGGCTGCTGAGAAGGACGAAGGATACGGGAGGCGGAGGAGGCCGCTATGAACGCCAGCGTCAACATCGAGAGGAACTCCTGGCGGCTGCCTCCCGACGAGACCGTCCAGGTCGCCGATCCCCGTTCAAAGTCAGCCCAGGTAAAAGAGGTAAATCGCTCCAGCGGACCATCGGGCGTCTAATCCCCCGTCGATTAAATCAGCGTCTCGTCGAGAAAACGATTTAATCCGTGAGATATCGAAGCATGAAATCTCTGTTGTCTCGTGTCTCCCGTTCATTTTCGTTTCTCACTGCTGTCGTCGGTGTCTTTCTGTGATCCATGACACCTAGGATAGTGCACGGTGACACGGTGTCCGTGTGTCTGCGCATGGAGGATGGTTTATGCTGGGTGTTGAATGTTTTTTTAAAACGAATAGATCGTTATCCTGTGTAACCTTGCATGAAGTGTAATTACGATAGGAGAGAAAGGGTTTAGCGTTCCTCTCTACACACGGATACGATGTTTATTGTAATGTAATTATTGGAACCGATTCGCGATGGATAATGGAACAGCATGTTGATACGAGGGAGTTTACGTTTCATAGAAATTAATCGGTATGGAATATAGCGTTACATTGCACAGAACATTGTACAGAATTGATTCGTGACATCCGAACACCTCGAACACATTACAGATTGATACATTGACATCTGGTGAAATTTCATCAACCACCGATGAATCATTGTTGCACAGCTACCTGGTGATAGCAGGTTCGATTAAAAGTTTTCGAAGAGCGATCGGTAAAGTAAGGATCGATCGTAAAATTTTGCAGGGATACTTTCAGCTGGATTAAAACAATCGAATTACGTTTTAAGATCATTTTAAATGGATCGTAACACCGGGGAGTTAAAGGGCACGAGTCTTTAACCGAGTTTCATTACCTACTTTGTCTCCAAGATCTGACTTGAGTTTATACGAGCACTTTTCCGCTTCGAACGCGGTCCACTGTAAGGTTTTCGAGATAGAACGCTGGATTCTTTAACTTCGAATTAACGGAACGATTAATGCAATTAAAGTAAACGAGCGCGAACGAACGCGAGTCGGTCCTTCTTCTCGGACGATACCGAGAATTAAGTTTCGATGTTAATTACACGATTCGTTAGGAACTAGCCTGTAGAAACTTCGAAGAGGATGGTTCGACGTAGTTCGTAAAACTATGGTAGTGAAAGGATTATGAATCCATGAATTTTTTAAAGAACGAACAAATATTTTTTACAACTAAAGGAATGACCAGAAACTTGAGACGAAGATCTGAAAGACCGTCTCGTTTAGAGGGACAAAAACGAGCTAATTAGAGCCGAATCGTCAGAAGACTTCGATTCATTATGCAGATCACCTTTCTTCTCTTTGTTTCGTTACTTTGCCTGACACCGCAAAAATTCGCTCTCGAGTCTTCCAGATAGTCGCTGAATAGTTTGAACAATTGAGATCGTTAATTAGTTACACTGGGAGTTCGCAAATGGCCAAAGAAGTAACGATATTATTAACCGAAGTAGAATAGGTCAGTGGGTGGTCAGACGCGTCTTGTTAAGCGATCCGACAGGTGGAATAGAATGATGGATTGTTAGACAAGTAGTACAGGTTCATAACTACTCAGACAAATGGAACACTGCTATAGATCGGCAAACAGAGATAGTAAGTAGAATAGGTCAATTAGCGGTGAGACGGTTCTAATTAATATAATAAGGTCTGTAGGTACGCGGACAAGTGGAATAGACGTGTAAGTGATCGAGCAAATGAAATAGGATCGTACGCGGTTAGGCAAGTACAATGGGCCGGTAATTGGTCAGATAACTGAAATAGGATCGCGAACAGTCAGACAAATGGCAGAGGTCCATAAGTGGTCAGACAAGTGGAATTGAATCGTGGCTGTTCAGGCTAGTGGAACAGGTACGCGAGTGGTCAGACAAGTAGTAAAGGGCGTTAAACGAGCAGACGAGCTAAGCAGATCTGATCGATAAATGTTACCGAATTTCATAATAAACTTATTAATTCCCAAAGCTTGAAACTTTAAACTCTTCCATTGATTCTACCGAACCCATTGGGAATTAATAAAAATTTCAACGATTTCGTCTTTGTTAGCGATCGATTCTCGGATGTATTCAGCGAAAATGGCTTCGATTTAATTATGCAAAGCCGAGAGAAGAAGGTACCAGCGAACGGACCTAGCCGCGCCATCTCGAGATGGAGAACAGTTGCGTTCGAAAAGGAGTGCGAGCTGCTGATAAGCGAGAACCGATTTTCTCGTCGTAATTCTCGCTGGTAATCGAGTATCGTCGGGACGCGCGTTCACTCTTAGGTTCCTTTCCATTCTCGCGCAGGAGTATTCGTTCGTTGATTGCTTCTTGGGGAGGATTGTAACTCCTTGCGCTTAAAGAGCCGCGAGTAAGTGGATGAGCAGAAAGTAAAGACGAGCAACAGCGAACGTTTCTATGAATATTCATGAATACCAATGTGAAATAAGATCCTAGCGTGCCGATAAACGTGTCCGTTCGAAAGTAACGTTCGACACATCGAGTCTAACTCTCGTTGACCTGTACCACTTGTCGGATCAGCGATGGGTGCCACGCATTCCTTCCAACAAGTAGCTATTCGAGCTCACCATTTAATTACCAATTAGATCGCATTAAAAAACATTTCTTAATAAACTTCGAACATTATCCTTTTACCATTAATGAACCTCTGGTAAGTTCACGATCAAAGAGTAAAATTGAAATGGTCAGTGAAACATGGACTCGTATAAATGTTGAAATCAATATGGTACATCTACTGTCGTGGCATCTACACGCTTATTAAACGACGCAGCTTAACCCGAAATCAAGCGCCAAGAAGAATGCCTTTAAGGGATGCTCAAAGAGAAATTCCTATCACGAAAGGAGAAGTTAGGAAATACTTGATAGGGGTGGAATGTCCTGGACGTTGAAACGGTATATAACTCTCGTCACATTATTTAGAAAAAACGAAGTGTCGCGAAGGTGGTGCGATTCCCATAGACGAGCATCCGAGGCGTTGGAATGTCCGGATCGATAGAAGCGAAGCCTCCGCGGCCAGGGAAAGTCTAAATTTATACCGACTGTCGGATATACAGCCGCGTGTTTGGATAACATTTACATGCCGCGCGACACAGCAGCAAGTGTGTCCTGCGAGCGTGTAAATTTTCAGACGCATGCAGATTTATTCATGAAAGCTCGCCAGTCACGGCTCGAGCGGACCGCCACCGCACTTTGTAGGCCGCAAACTGTGCCCATAATCGGAGGGACCGGTTAGCCAAAATAATTTTCATCGGTTTCCTCTGCCCGGATTGTTTCAGACCTGGCGTGCAACCGCAACGATGTTACCGCCTAGCGTCAGATGATTACTTCGCGCAAAAGTACCAATCTCTTTCAAGTTTTATTCGAAATTTTAAAAATTCATCGGCCGACATCGTTCTCCGAATCTTCGTCAGCATTTAATCTAGCTATCATCTTCACTCGGAAGCTTCTGTCAATAACAGCAGCGAAATCATCTGAACCCTTTGTTCGGTAAAATCAGTCTACAAGAAGCTATCTTAATCTTCTGTAGAGACCGATCTCCCCGTGGACTATCGTCTCGCTGCATCGAGCTCCTCTTATCGACAGGATAACAATTCCCTGGTGTCAGGTACATTTTCTCCAAGCAAGTTTGCTCCGGCATTCGATGACAGTTTCGAGTAAGGCGAGGATTCTCATTATCGCGGAAGGATCGACTGGTTGGCGAAAGTTGGCGAAAAAGATGTTTCGAGGGGAGGTGATTGTATCGTCATTAATGGATTGTCGCGAGTTGCCAGTCGTTAGGTTTTCGATGAGAAAAGAAAACTCGAAGAGATTGCAGCCGTCGACCAATTAGAGAAACAGGGCTGGTCTTTGTCCTTGATTCTCGTCGATTTCTCCATCCCTCCTTGTACTCTGTCTTCTTTCAAACAGATAATTATTTAGCTCATTTGACGTTTGATGAAATATTTTCGGGGGTTAGTTTACGTGCGATCCCTTTGAGATTGAAGAGCCCTTTCGCTCTGGTCAAACTGGCACCGCAAAAGCAACAATGGCCGTCATCCTGTTCGTTTCACATCGTCTCTGTTGCGTGTTATCTGCGGCTTTCGTTGATGAGGAGCCTCCGTGAACACTTTGATGTCCACTTTGAACATCCACGGGATAATTGAAGGCCGGATAATCAAGGAAGGACGGCGAAACAGTGGGAACGGAAGCCTTCTGTGCTCCAGTTTCATGGAAACGTCGAACACGCGTCTAACAGGATACAAGGAACCCTTGCCACCTTTCTTCTGGATAACAAATGTCTACCTTAACAAACGGCCACGGTGCTGCCCTCTGTTTTGGTCGATAATGTCTGTCCAAGATATTCTACCGCCGTTTCTTCGGCACATTATCCACGGGATAATCTCTGATTCGAGGACAAACTCGGGACACTGCTTGTCTGGATAAATTTGGAACCGCTTGAAAGTTTAAATTATTCGATATCAGCGGCGGGACGATAAAAACTTGACGAAACAGTTTGCTTCTCTACAGGGTATTTCTAAAAATACTTTTCGTACGTTTATTATTGAAAAATTGCAATTAACCCCTTTAATTTTCTTTAATTTATTCCAAAACGGAAATAGAATTTCAATAGTTAATTATTAATCGAAGCTTCGATTAAATAATTTAATCAAGGATCCAAATTACGATTCAAACTTTCACGATATATTCTGTCTGTATAAAATGAACGTGTAAGTATTTTTTTCGCGTCGCGATGAAGCTTCCTCTCTTCGATTATCGACCCCTTTCACCAAGTGCTCTCCTGACCCCTGAAGGGTCAGCCGCGCGAGCGACGAATCGGCATATGTTACCCCTTTGAATTTTCTGCTGTGACGAAAAGAGTGGCGCGATAGAGCAGAGAAGAAGGGTCTTCTCGAGCCACGAAAAGGCAAGCCAGTTAGACATTGTCTTTCGTGTTGAACGGTCCTGATCCGATCTTTGTTCATCTTTTCTTTTTCTTTCTTCCTTTCGCGGAAATGAAAACTTGCGCGCGAATTAAAGGAACTCTGGTAAGTTCATTTCTCCGAATGCGATTATTGATTTGATAAATATTTGATCATTTGTATCGGTAACTTCGTTGACGGTGATAATTTTGTTCGAAGCTTATCATTGTATGTTTCATATCGAATTTTCTTCCGAATATTCATTTTTATAAAGATAAGATTTGTCGAGGATGATCTATGCACCCTCCGTTCCCCGTCTAGTTACACGAATGTGCATCGGATACAGATTCAATAAGAAACAATGACATCATCGTTATTCTTCGTTAAATGCCGAGCTCAGAACTGCATTCTATCAAAGTAAAGCGCGATCATGGTACGTAAACGAATCGATTTATATCCCTCTCTCTTTCTTTCTGTCTACCCTCTGCATTCATCAGCGAGTACAAAGGGGGGACGCGTTCGCTGTCAACGATTTACACTACACGACCTATCGCGCGGTTAAATAATTTATAACACGTTAAGAGAGAGATAGAGCCACGCCAAGGTACAAAGAGAACACTGAGGTGTGGAGGGCAATGAGCCAGAAAGTCTGGCAGAAAGATTACTCTCTCTCTCTCTTGTTCAGTCGAGGCTGGCTGGTCGTTGACGAAGGATTACGTTCGTTCTTCGATGTTCGCGAAATTAACAGAGATACGCGACGAATACAGTGTCAGCGGTGCGCGAAAATGTGATGTGTTCGACGGCGAAACACGGTGAAGAGCATCGTTGCATACTGCTATTTCTGGAAGGTTGAGCTAAACGAACCGCTGCGATGGCCAATACGCCGATGAATTTGTCAGAAGATAAGCAAACTTTGAAGTTGAAACGTTTCTTCCGCGATTAATTTTACCCGTGTAAAAACCACCAGAGGGATTTCAAATAATATTATTACTTCTTTATCATCGAACGCCTTGACTGGTGCAGTGGAAACCTCCCTGTGTAATCGAGCGCATAGTAATTTCAATTATTCGGAATGCGATCGTTTTATTTTTCAAAGCCCTTTGTGATTTTTACACCGACCTCTGTACAGTTAATTATACCGATGTGTTTCTCTGTCGTATTTCCCCTCGCCCTTACAACTGTCGCCATGTTCTTTTTATTCTAACCTTATAACCTACATGCACAATGCATCGTGATTTAAATCATACCTGTTGAAAGATATGAAAGAGAAAATAATTTGAATAATTAGTGCTTTGATGCGTTCTACTAAAGACGTTCATTTGCCCTGGCGGCATTCAATGAAATCTTAACGAACACCTTGAAGAAGTGAATAAAAAGGAACACGTGTACGTATCAGCGGCGCTCTCGATAAAGCTATCCAAGAAAAAGCTGACAAAAGGTTGTAAGGTAGTTTCTTGGTTAGCGAAAACGAGGCCGCGAAAGCCTCGAATCTGTTATTCCGGATTCGAGTTGGAAGCACACCTGCGAGGTCGTGAAACCTGGCAAAGAGGAAAACCTTCCAAGATTCTCGCCTCGTATTATTGCTCAATTTTCTTCGTCGCGAGAACGTTTGGCAGTAACCGTACTCCTACGCCCATTCAAACCACCCACGCTCTAATGCAACTTGCGATTCATAGTAACATCACGGGTCATGCGATTCGAACGCTCCAACAAATATTAACATTCACCAGAAATGTGGTCAAAGAGATTATCCTATATATTTTGTAACAGAAAAAAAATTTTTTCTTTTTTTTTTTATCGACGATTCATCGGAATTAAAGAATTCATTATCGAAAACACGATGTCGTGGCGGGGCTGTAATCACGGCAGAATTATTCCACGTTTCATTATCGAAACACCCGATCCGGTACCGAAACACCGGCCCATTATCTCCACGCTCGATTAATTTCTAACCGATATATCAATCGAACTGATCGACTGTAAGCTCGATTTTGCTCGCTCACTTTTCCAACGTTCGATTCACGCGAACCGGCACAATAGGGTTGAATCCGTCGCAACGCAACCAGATATTCCATTGCCGAGTCGGCAATTTCCATTCGAAGGCCCCCGCAGGAAGGGCATTGTTGCTGGAATATAAACCAGCCGACGCCGACGGTCTCCAGCGCGACGTTTCCTACGTGGGAAACGTTCGAAAATCCTCTGGAAGAGTCGTCTCGGGGACGGAACGGGTATCGAGAATCGATGGAACGAAAACGAAGGGAAAATAGTATCTTAATGCATCGTCGTTTCAGATATTTCTAATAATCGTAAAGTGTAGCGTGATGTTTAGAAACTGTTTGATATCTTCAAAGATTGTTACTTGAAATTTTTTATATAAAAATCAGACTGTTTCTTTGCCATGTTATTTGTGGATCGAAAAAAAGTCTGAAACTCTGTGAAACGAAGTGGTGTAGCTGATACTTTCCTCCCACGATCATCCTATAGAGAATATTATATTTTCCTCGCAACCAACCCTCCGTGTTCGCGGCATCCCCTATCGTACTAATACCATCGTAGCGCGGCATTGTAACACCGCTATTTTACTATTCCGCAAGGCAGAAGCATCGTCGTGAAGCGTGTTCCGAATCGTCTAACAAGAACTTCGAAACATGTTTCGAAACATCGCTCGTTGGGTAGAGAGACCCTTAGAATATTCTCTTTGTAAAATGCACAGGACGGTTCATTTTCTAAATTTTCAAAAAATGGTAAATTCACGAATGAAACAAATTCAAAATTACCATGGAAATTGAAAAGTGTGCGAAAGTAAATGACCGTGGTGAAACATTGAAAAGCGTGCTCCATCGACGTAAAAAGGATACAATCGACAGAGAAAATCATTCGATACACAACGAGATATACAAGCATCGTTGAACCAGCCGCTCGCGTGAATGGTCGATCGAGTTTAGCGTTCGAACGCGACGAACCACCCTCGAAAGCTTTGAATTCCACTCGGATTTTCCTGAAAATCAGCTAGACAACTGGCTAGGACGAAACAAGCGTGCACGAGATCCCGTTGCATCCCCTATGTATCCCGCGTACCCGTTCTTCCCGTTATCTGAAACATTATACATCCTGGTGGAGGCGCACGTGCGCCGCGTTACGCGGTTGGAATTCAAAGGCAACGAATCGATCAAGCCGGCCGATTGGAAAGAGACGTGGCGCGAACGGACGGAGAAGCTGGCATAGAACAAGGCCAGGAGATCGACGATTGTTTGTCACGACGAACAAGTTCAGAAGCGATTGTCAACTCTACGATGTCCATTAATCGACGCGAAGAGGATCGTGGCTTCGGTCGATTTGCACGGGACGCTGTTACCGCATTCCAATGGTGTTTTAAACACACCACGTTCGCGGTCGAGGAACTTTCAAGAGCTTCGAGTATCAAAGGGATGCTGTTCGATCCCGAAATAGTCGGACTGTTCGTTCGAGTAAATAAAAGAAGTTTTGGCCCCCTGTGAACTTGATTCTTTCATCGCGTTAGGAGGAACTTGGGCTAGGTGCGAGGTTTTAGCGAGTAGGGTGCCACCCCTGGCCGAATAACGCGACAGAAAAAATGCTAGATGGGATTCGAGAAGATGATACTTTCGTAAAAGTAGAAGACTCGAGTTAAAACGTTTGCTAGCAGCTAGAAAATATTAGGAACACGTATCCTAATTCCTACGAGCAACGTCGAAGCACAATCAACGGGTGACACACGGGTGATCGCGTTCTATGACAACGATGCTTCCACGGTGTTAAGGGTACCTTCTATATGTTTAAAAAATGAACCCTCGTCCGAAGGAATGTCGAGGGGAGTTTATCTTGAAAGCGATACGCTCGATGATCATCGGTATCGCAACAATATCCCGGTGAAATAGAAGGGACACATCTACCAGGATCACGGATACGACCCGGGTAACATGATCACTGGTCGGTGTAGTTGGCGTTGAGCAAACAACGAGCGGATCAGCCGGCGTTTACGCGCTGAATCGATACGCTTGGCGGAAGTTTGCGTGCGCCCTTAGCGTGGAAAGGGTTGCGCTGTCGGTGGTGTGCGTGGCGAATTCTAACAGGTCTGGAAAATCCGTTCGCGTCGCGTGTATTACACGCTCGGGGACGTGTTATCCGGCTTAGCCCTCCGAACAGAATAGGATTCGCAAGCTGAATGCAATATGCATGCGGTCATTGGGTCGGAAACGTTTTGATATTCCACTCCTTTCTCCTCGTCTCTGTTCACGATAAACACACGAGTTTATCAGCTCGTTGATTAGCCCAGCTGGCACGAGAGACGCGTTAAAAATTCAATTACCGATCCGAGGAACGGTTACACGAGGTACAAACACCGTGACGCATTGAATAGGATCGAGCGAGACGAAGAAGCGACGAAGCAGCATGAGTGTATCTGTCGCGAATACCCGTTCGATGTTACCCTCGAGGAAATCGCGAATTGCATGCCGAGCTTCTGCATCGTAGATCCACGATTTCGATCGATCGATCGATTACTCACAAAAGGGTATCTGATTCATCCACAGGATCTAACGTACGCGGAGAGCGGCCACAATTGGCGCAGCATAATCTTCTCGCTGCTGGTCATCGGTTTTGTTATCGCCGGCATCGTTACGGCCATTTACCTCCTCGGGTGAGTATTCAACCCTCATCGACCCTCTTTCACTGCTCCCTTTATCAGCCTCCATTTCTCTAGGATAAAATGGAGCAATTTGATAAGAAAGATTTCTCTTCATCCATCGTGCATTTCGCGCGTATTGTTAGATTTTTTTTAATTAATAGCCAACTTGTTAACGAGGCCAATAGGTAGCGATTGATTCTTCAGTTTACGATCGCGTCTGCAAGCTAAGCACGAACTTTGATCGGACTTCGGAAACATCGAGCTTACAACGTCTGCGAGTCTGACTTTCCCTTTTTACTTTCGAGCTCGCTCGTTTTTACGAGAAATCCTCTCGGCTTTCACTGCGCCAGAAAATCCCGCCTTTTATCGCGGTTTAAATCCACCTCGGAATAGAGAATGTCTGCGAGCTTCCTTACGAGGCTTTGCTGGCATTACTTTTGCAAATTTCAAGCATAGTGGTTGTTATTAAATTTCGATGGACTCGGTGTAATAATTTGCAGGTACGTCGACGAGTTGTTGTACTGGAGCGGCAGACGGCTGACGTTAGACGAGTGCCTTCGCGATGATCTGACGCCTCACAGGCTAACACCGACCTGGATTTCACACGACAAGTTTATCTACCAGGCTGACGACGGATCCCTCACCCTCCTGGACACCAGCAACAATTCCGTGTCTCTTCTGGTTTCCAATCACACGCTCGTACGTGTCAGAAAAGATTATGTGTACAGAATAAACGAGTACCCGGCTGATAACGTGAACCGTAGCGACGGTAGAACCTTAGGAATTCATGAATAATTTGTGTTATTACCCTCAGAAGACGGTAATAGACGCAATTCAATAATTAACTCTCTCGATATCAACCCTCTTGTTTTGTCAAAACCCGTGTGGTCTCGGAAATTTAATCAAAACCCGACGCACTCATGGTAATTCGCAAGTACGTCATAATCATGATCGTCCATTAAAACAGTGAGTGATGAAAAGCGTCGGAATCGATTCTCGCAATGATACTGCAAAGTCGTGAATATTATACGCGGACGAGCGTGTCGTAAACGTGTCCGTTGAAAACTCGACGCGTCGAAACCTCGAAAATTCCACGGGGATAGGTTTTACGGGGCCGTAAAGTTTGCAGCCGGGAAATAGAAAATACATAAAACCGTAAATCTTTGCCGGGCTTTATTTTCAGAGGCAGCTGAATGTTCAAGGCTACCAGTGCAGCGCCGATCTACGTTACGTGTTGTTCAAGCACAATGTCAAGCCGGTGAGTAATACGAGGGTGAAAACAATTTTCGTCGGCCTTCGTGCGAGTCGTTTAAAAGAACTAATCGATGATCGCAGTAACAGGTAAAGAGAATCGTTCGCGATAGAAGAACGTTCGTTAAACAATTTCTCGTGAATTAATGCTTTCGTTGTAACTTTTCATTATATTATTTAAACTTATAGCCTCGAATAATTTATGCGATCAATTCGATCCTTTCAGGTATTCAGAAACACCTTCACAGCTTACTATACCGTCTACGACGTCACGAACGAGTGAGTAAATTTCTCTTCGAAAATAAAAATCCTCCATGGTTTAATGGTAATTGGGTTATCGCAAAGGCTACCTCTTCCGTGTTTCCAGTCATCACACTCCTCTTCGTCTGCACACGTCGCGAAGGATGCAGCAAACGCGACTGCAACACGCCGCTTGGTTGGGTAACACCTCGGGTCTCCTGATGGTATCCGATAACGACATCTTCGTGAGAATGGCACCATCAGCTCCCGAGGATGCCCGACTGACCGACACGGGTGTACCGGGAGTGATCTACAACGGTGTGCCCGACTGGCTGTACCAGGAGGAAGTGTTACCTCGACCGGAGGCAGCCTGGCCCAGCCCCGATGGCACTCATCTTCTTTTCGCTACCTTCAACGATACCAAAGTCACTGCCCTCGAGTTTCCCTGGTTCAGCACGCAGCCTGGTCAAGACGGAGCCAGTTCGAGTCCGCTGACCGCGACCAGGAGAGGTTCCTTTCCGCGTTCCAAATCGGTCAGATATCCAACCCCTGGTTCCCCTAACCCAGAGGTCGATCTATGGCTCCTGGAACTCGCTAACGTGACCAGCCCTACGAATGGGAACGGTACCGCGAATAGCACCATCGTCTCCAGGACCAAGCTGAAGCCACCGCCAGCTTTGGACGGGCAGTAAGTGAGAGAATCATAATAGAAGTTAGCTATCCTTCGTTTAGGTTGTTCCAGGGGTGTTTCTTTATTATTCTAGGGAGTATTATCTGATATCGGCCGGTTGGGTGGGCGACGACTCCAGCCACGTTGCCATCGTGTGGATGACGAGGTCGCAGAATCTGTCAGTGGTCTCGGCGTGTCGCGCACCCCTATGGGAGTGCGAGGAGACTCATTCGGAACGAGCACCGGAGGGACAATGGCTGGACGCGCAGCCTCATCCTCTGTTCGCGCCTGACGGCGACAGTTTCTTGTTGTTGGCTACCGTTCAGGAAGGCGACAAGGAACATTTCACCCACATCAAGCATGTGACGTTGACTCAGCAGAGGATAGCGGTTCTTTCGCATGGTCGTTACGAGGTGAGCAACTGATCGAATTGTTTCTGTTACAGTTCCATTCATTTTGCTGTTCGAGGCTTTCGGGTGGTAAACCGTGTCCAGCTGGGAGATGCTTTCTGTTGCACACGACTTACACTCGGAATTTCCAATTTTCAATTTGGATACATTTTATATATGATGGTTGATCGTTAGGTGAGCGAAATCTTAGCGTGGGACACCAAGGCACACCAGGTGTATTACTTGGGTACCAGAGAGAGAAGGCCAGGACAGAGACACTTGTACATGGTACGCGATCCAACTGCGGATGATCCACGACGATTGGAACCACTCTGCGTCACCTGTGACCTTGGTGAGGTTCTATGGAGCAGTAGGTAAGTAACGTTTACACAACGGTTCAATCATCTTTGTGAACTTTACGTTCCTACGAATATCGTGGCAGGTTTTATTACACCAACTGCACGCACTTTGGCGCATCCGTCAGTCCAGCGATCAACGACGAAACTCAGGGTTACTACGTTCTTTACTGCGAAGGTCCGGGTCTTCCGTTGGCCGGTGTGCATCTGATGGGCTCCCATAAGATGATCCGTGTACTGTACGACACCAGAATCCAGCGAGGGGATAAGCTATCGCAGTTAGCTCTACCGACACGAAGGAGTTTCGAGGTACTTGATTATTCTAATCAGATTTTCATCCCGAATCATCGGGATACGCTCGGAACTGACTAAGCGATGAAAATTCTTCAGGTACCTTTGCCTCAAGGCTGGAAAGCCCAGGTGCAACTTCTATTGCCCCCCTCGTGGCGAGAGGAGCTCAGAGATGCGGCTTTCCCGGTACTGGTCGAGGTGAACGGTCGTCCCGGAAGCGAAGCGGTCACCGATCGATTCAAGATCGACTGGGGCACCTACATGTCCAGTCACAACGACGTGGTGTACGTCAGATTGGACGTTCGCGGGGCGAGAGGTCAGGGGAAGAGAGACTTGTTCAGGAGGATCGGCGGTGTCGAGGTTCAAGATCAACTGACCGTGTTGAGGCACCTGTTGAAGACCTTGAAGTACCTCGACGTGACGAGGGTCGGTGTGTGGGGCTGGGGATACGGTGGCTATGTGACAGCCATGGTGTTGGGTAGCCAGGAGAACGTGTTCAAGTGCGGAGTCGCTGTGAATCCCATCGCTGATTGGTTGTATTACAGTAAGTGAATCCTTTCTTTCGTAAGCATCGATCGTAAACTTGAGGAGAAATTCATTTTTCCTTACGTAGATTCCGCGTTCACGGAACGGGTACTCGGTGCTCCAGCCGAGAACTACAAAGGTTACGTTGAGGCTGACCTAACCCAACGGGCAAGGTTGGTGCCGAGTCACAGTCTTTATCTTCTTCATGGTATGGCTGACCTGACAGCGCCTTTCACGCACAGCGTCGCCTTCGCCAAGGCTCTGTCCGAAGCGGGTATCATTTTTAGGTACCAGGTACGTGGTTCCTTTCTCTCTTCCTTAATTTCTTCCCAATAATTTAACGATCGTTTCACTTTGACAGAGCTACGCGGACGAAGACCACGCCTTATCGGGCGTGTTGGAGCACGTTTATCGTTCCATGGAGGACTTCCTCGCCGAGTGCCTCTCCCTGGACGCGTCCTAGTGCCTCAAGCCGAACACTCCCTCGTTCTCTCTAGTTCGCCTACTTCTGATACATCCCGGATGGGCCTGGATAATCGTCGTCGACGAGGCTCACCGTTCAGCATTATAGACTAGTTCTTCGAACGTATTCTCGGAAGCACCTTCTCGTTACGAAACACGAAAGAAGACTCGAAGATGAAGAACGCGCATCTGCTACGGTCTTACCGGGAAGCGAGTAGAATAAAAATAAAGAAAATACCAAAACGGTGATGACAGGGATGAGGTAAAGCTAGCGTTTGTATAAGTAAATATCGTTGATAACGTTGTATATCAAGCGGATTCCTCTTTGCTACGAAGAAACTGGTTCACCGATAGAACTCGCGGTAGACTTACTCCAACATCCCGAGGCGTAGTGTCTAGTCGACGGAATCGTGTTCAAGCAGCTTCGCAAGCTCTCGTTTCTTGCCCTCCCATAGCCTATCGACGAACGAGCTCGTTGGATTTGGCGAGCTTGCAAGCTCTCACCACTTTTTATACACCTTGAGAATCCGATAGAGAGGAGTGAGAGGAGAAGATGGAGAACCGCGAGCGACGATCCAACGCATCGAGCTTAGCGCGAGCTTGCAGGTTCGCCTACCCTCCTTTTTATATCGAACTTGCACACACTAGTCGTTCATAGGCCGCGTTCCGCTTTCAAAAGTATCAAGCTTTTCGAAGCTTGCAACTCTCTCTCTCTCTCTCTCTCTCTCTCTCTCTCTTTCTGCTCTTTCTATCAGAGATCGAGCCATGATCCATGGACCGTCCGAGCTGACAAGGCCGGACTTAATGATCTCGTCGCTTCATTTCTGCTAATTACAAGTAATTGCAGCTACGCTATATCGGTGCCTCTCTGATTTTCTCGACAACCAAATACGGCTACGCCTATGCGATGAGGTTCGTCCAGGATTATCAACACACTGAACGTTTTAGAAACGGACGCCTAGTCTTAAGGTTTTGTGTTGTACAGCTTGGCGCCTAGTATGTGTACCGTAATGTTTACACGTAAAGAAACGGAATAACAGATTTTTCTCAACCCTTATTCCCTCCACCCGAATTCACCCCATTTACGATCCTTTTCGATATTTGTATATATCTGTACGCAACCTTGATCAAAGGATGCCCACCCTCGACGAGGTTCCCATGTGTTCCCGTTTGTCGTTGATCGTTTGTTGTACCTATATATCGCTAAGTTGTACTATACACACATACACACACACAGATTTTCAGATTAAATAATTAATTAAGCAAGCGGCTCGAGGCTTTAGGATAACCTTCGGGACTCAGCTTAGAGCGAAGTTCGAAATGAACGGACCTCGTCGCGGGCAACGAACACCTTTTCACCATCAACCATCGCGTTCAACGTCCTAGAGAAGTTGACGATACGGTGGAAAAGCGATTTTAGATATTTCTAATGATCGACGTTCGTTCAGACGATGTTGAAGAATCGTTCGAGATCGATCGAGCCTGCGAGCTCTTCATCCTTTCGCTTAATGACGATGATGATGAGAACGATTGCGTTCATGGGAAAATTCTACATTATCGAGGTAACGATAAGGATGAAAAGAGTTCGAAAATTGTTACGTTCAACAACTTTCGGCTCGATCGATCGATTCGAACGGAATAGAGTCGCACGTCGCCATAAACGCTGCCTGCCCAGCAGCCCTTAAATGCCGACAATCAAGGCTAGTGCAACTAATCAAACGATAATAAATAGAACGGAGAGGATGAAGATATTACCTAATAATATTAATGAACCTTAGTTGAACGATCGTTGCGGTTCGTCCATGTTGGACTGCGATAAACGCGCTTCTGATTCATCCTTTGATTAGTTTATTCGATTAATTAGATTCCGACATTTTCGCTGTCACGGTTTATGTTGGAAACATCGAGTTTCTCGAGGGACAAAAGATAAGAACAGTTTTATACACGAAGGGTATAACTTGGTGCACTTCTATGGAATAATTCTAATGGGTATCGTTGACACATGGACGAATACATAGAATCGTTAGACCGATGATTACGTGCTTGATGTCGATTTGTAGAGAGTACAAAGGCGAATCACGTGGCCAAAGAATCGTCCAGCAGAATTATTTATCCGAGTTCGCGGATTCCTAGGGTATGTTTGACCTCGTTTCAGCCGGATCAATCAATTCGAATCAACGTTGTCCCGGCGTTTTTCCACGGAAGTGAAAACCTTGTAATAAAATTATCGTGCCTCGGTTCAACGTTCGCTAACTGGTCGTGGAACGAGAGAAAATATGCCCGGTATCCCCGTAGCCTCGATTCTTTAGCCTCGTGACAAGGACGGACACGTTGTTGTTTCACGTTTGTGCAAAATAAAGAGGAAAAAAGTTGTTCATCTTCGTTGGTGTTATCGGAAACACCTTTCTTTCGTAAGAAACGAGCGAATCGAACAGAATGAATGAATCAAAGCGAAAGTCGTATGAATGCGTGTGTTGAAACAAGTGCGAACAAGTGTGTGAGCGCGCGTAAGAGTGCAATCGCAATCAATTATTAATTATAATTAAAAAAAAAAAAAAAATAATGAAAAAAAACGAAACGGCAGAAAGTGCGGCGAATTTAAACTATAGGCATAGATCTCGAACGGCAGGCACGCAGACAGTAACAACAACAAGAACAACAATAACAACAACAAAATACAAGCATGCAAATTACGAGAAATTAATCGTAACAGAAAAAAAAATTAAAATAAAATAAAAGAAACCTTGGTAGAAGCGCATAAGGGTATCTTATAAGCTTTTGGTAAACGTATTATCGCCGCTAGGCTAAAGAGAATTATAATAAGAAAATAAAAAAAAGATATATATATATATATATATTATACAATAAAGAGAAAATAACGCGATACACAGAGGGGATAAAAGGGAGAAGACACATCAGAAGATGCGAATTCACGCGGACATCGAGTTCACGAATCGGGCCCGTGCGAAAAGAAAAAGAAAAAAAAAGATAAAATGAAAAATTTCGAAAAAAATTCGCGCGAATAATTGTCGACGAGATTTGTTTTAGTTCCGAATGTTTTTCCAAACGAGAGAGAAAGAGACGATTAAATCACGAGCATTTATAATTATCAACGACGAATGAGGGGGTACGATGAATCAATAATAACGATAATGCGTCTATTTGAAAATTCTTTGAATAATCTGTGATATTCAGATTGACGATTATTATCGATTATTTGGCGGATTTATCCGGGATACGGTGTGTTGTTTTTAACGTAAATGAATATGTACAGTTATCGCCGTTTTCCCTGGCGAAGCCCACCATGCTCGGCACTGTACACTCGAACATCGAGGCTATTATATTTAAGATAAGGTATCGTTTAAAGAAAATTGAAAGAACGTCATGGCGGATTCGATACGACGCGTGTGAATCGACGTGAAACGTTGTATCGAAGATTGCCCGATAACTCGTTGATTCGATCGTGTTCCACGGGCGTGCTCGACACGCTCGGACAATTGTTTTTTATAATAATTATTCGCTCGAGTGGCGCGAATTATCGTTCGAAAGACAGGCGTTCTCGATAGCGTCTCGTGGGGAAACAAGGACACGCGGATTGTTTCCACTCGGTTTTTTACGATATTCGCACGGACCTGGAGACCGAACATCCACGAAATCAGCTGTTGTGACGAGCGATTGTTTCAAAAAATGACACGATGTTTAAAAAATTTCATATAATATTCACATGTTTTCAACAGCTCTGTATCGAAAGATTATTTTTTTCCATCAAAGTATGAAACAAATTAGATGATCCATTTTGTTAAGCGTAGTACTTCTAATTTAATATAATGTACATCTATTTTGAACAGCTCTCTAACTTTAACATTAATTAACAAATGAACACCATCGTCACGAAACCGATGATTTCGTGGATATCGTTCAAAGTTCTAATTCCACGTAACACCCACGAGATAATCATGTTACTAAGACTCTGCATTTTTTAATATCAGCGAGACTTCGACCCGTACCACGGTCGGACAAAAAGTGTTTTCAATAAACTGTTACATTACCTGAAGCTCAGCTGTTTTCCTGACCCTCTGTACATCGTCATCTCGCCTCCTTGTTACCTGTAAAAACGAACACGATTAATATTTTCAAGAGAAACATAAAAGATCTGCAACTTGATGCGATTCTCCAAATCGATAATAATAGAAAAACAAAATCTCTCTTGACAGTGATAATTTCATATCGAAGGTTTATTTTATTTAAATTATGTCTCTACGTCGATCGCAGAGGAAGAAATCCTTCTCGAAAATATTAAATGTAGGAGGAAATGGTAAACGGAAGTCCCGTCCATCGGTCACAGTTATTCGGTAACGATAAATTGAAAACTGCATGAATTTTTCGGTAAATGATGACGGTTAATTTGTTGGTTTAAGGTTATATAATTATTTTTATAGAACTCGGTCAAAAACCGTACAAAATGTGGCATCGGCGAGAGATTTAAAGGAACCGATCGCTTTATCCAGACGGTCCTCCGATAGCAGTGTAGTTTATTTAGGATCTTATCGCAAGATCCCTGAATTGATCGATTTGGAGGATAGCTGCGAATGTTACGAAGAGAAACTGAAAACGAGATCTCCGAAATTTGAAGAGGTTTGCGGTAACAAAAAAATTAATTAACTTTTATTTGTAACTGATTGACGCAGGAAATGTATGATTTTTTTACAGAAACAATCCATGACAAATGAATAATTCATCCGATACTTAACAGGTACTTATTATTTTTTGTATTCAATATCGATGATTAAATGTAATCGTGACCTTTGATCTTGCAAGGCAAATAGGTAGAAGTTAGAAATTTCCTTGAGAACGAAGACACGCTCTCGATCTCAGCTTTTCCTTTACGCATGATTTCAAGTTCTTTGAGAAAAGAGTCGGTCATATAAGGTCGAGTTTCAATGGCCGCCAATTTGGATCGATCGAATTCGGTGAGAGGAAGGGTGTTCACCCCTAAACAGTGCAATTCCGACGGAAGGATTCCTAACCAGCGCACGCTTGAACATACCAGACTCTCATTTTCTTTGGACAACGTTGCTGAGCCAAAGCTGAATCAAACAAACGAAAGAAATTCCGTTTTATTACTGTTTATTTTCTTGTTAACGATTTTTTTTTGGAATATTACTTATGGTAATTCTTTTTTAATAATTTAATAATTGGTTCAATTTTTATAAATGAAAATATAATATTCCCTCTTTTTATTACATTTTATATTTCAACTGAATCTTTTGATAATAGACATTTATTTATTATTAAATTCTGATGAATAACTTCCACGATCTTAGTAAGCTTCAATTTCATTCAGATTACAAATTTCTGTCATAAATTCATACTGAATGATAAATACGAGGGCTTGGTATAACTCACCGGTGACACTGATATGTGGCTTTTTACGTCACCACCATCCTATTCGTATCAACCGCAACACGTACTAATTACACTGTGGAAATTGCCAATTTCCCCTCGTATATTGTACAATACCATAAACTAAAATTTAATCCATCAAAGCATACACGAATAAATAAATCATTCGAATGAAATTAAATGAATCATAAATATTTCTATCGATGCATCACCGTCCAAATTAATATCTAATCATCAAATGAAACACCAATTCAAGGATTATTAAAATCTCTGATTTTTATTAAGAAAAAAAAATGTATTTTGTTTGTATTATTTGTTTACCGATAAACACACATGATGTCCACGCCAAAAGGGTCAGCATCGACGACCACGTAAACCGGAAGTCCTAATTTCTCGGCCAACAGTTTGACCAGCATTCTCGTGGCCACGTCCGGATATCCTTTTCCCGTTAACAAAATACAATTCAACGAACCGGTGCAATCATCTTCCAACAACTTTTGAAAGACGGCATCCTTTTCGACGACTAACACCATCTTCGCAGTGGTGCGAACGGAAGTTACGTTTGATACGATCTGAGGGATGAGAGCACCACCTGGTACCGAGCAATCGATGCTACGATTATCGATTAGCGTGAGGGTCAATTCACCTGCCGCTAATCCTTTCGATGTTGGCAAAATATCTGGATAAACGTTTCTCACGTGAATATTTGATATTAAGGGGCTGAGCTTCGTAAAGGAAATTTCTTGAAAATTTGTTCGATGAAAAGGACTCACTGAGTTCCCACGGGGCGCAATTTAGCAAATTAGCAACATGGTTCACAGCTCGGTCCACGTGTCCTTGTCCTAAAGATAAACTTGACGTCTTCTCGGTTTTTAAATCGTAGTAAAGGGACCTTCTCGTGGCGGTGGTTTTGGTAATTAATAAACGATGAGCAGTTGCCATCACCGTCATCATCAAAGCGAATTTCTCTTTGCTTCGACTCGCAGCGAAATTTGTTACCACCTTTTTCTCAGTCGGTTCTGTTTCTTCGTCACTTTGCTCCTCAGAGGAGGAACGTAATTCGGCGTTTGACGACTCATTTTGCGATGATGTCTGAGTGTCCATTCTTGCAAAATTTTGTGGTTCCGAATAGGAAATTTTTGGTAATTGACCAGAACATATTTGTTGGATGATGGTCGACGTTACAGTTTCAATGCGAGATATTAATCGTGCCCTAAGGACAATTACAAATGATTCAGCTTCACTATATCACTTTTCCAGAATGATTTTGTAGTTGATACAATATTCACCTTGATTCTGTATTGTCCACTACAGGTATATCAATTTTTATTTCTTTATTTTTTGATATACCTTCTGGGAATCTATACTCCTCTTCGTTCATATTTCTTAATAATTCTTGATATCCTTTCTGAAATGATGAATTTTTATGTATGAAGAATTTAAACATACCGCTATAAAAATGGTACTGTTAGCGCCACCTGGTTCTCTTTAAAAAAAAAGCGCCAAACAAACGGTATCTGGCGGTGAACCATTGAACTATAATTAAAATGATATTCAAACTCTAATTCATTTTCCTACTTTATTATTTTTAATATGTTGAGTACACTTTAATGCCTTTATTCGAAGAATATTATCGGCAAAGATGATTTAACAAGTCTAAAAACGAACAATAAAGTTTAGTTTCGTCAGTTCTGAGGTGTTACCGATAAATGGTTATAAAGTTTCAGTATCCACTGGACGCAATTTCTTAAATTACAAAATTTAATAATTTACACCATTATTTGAAGCAAGTTAGCACCAGAGAATGTTTTACTTCCTTCGACAATATCAGGATTTGCTTATTTTATTTAAAAAAAGCAATTTTCTATTTCATCAGTGTTGATATTCACCGCCAGATGGTGGCAGAGTGATCAAAGCGCGAAATGATATGGAATTGAAAAAAGTATTTTAAACGTTGTCAATCCAATTATAATTGATTCGTTAAATCATAATCAAAATGTGAATGAAAAATTGGAAAAAAAATCCATTTTTATCGATTCTGTGAAATCCTCAAGTAATCCAATATTTACGTTAAAAAGAAAATTAGGCTTCGATACAAAAGAAGTAGGCCGATATAAAAAGTGAAATAGATGGATAACGATCCATGCTCGATCGTTTGAAGCTTAGAAGGCAACGAGGCTAGATAAAAATCTCCGAACGTAACATTCTCACAGCAATAAACATATTAAGCTGCACAGCGAACGGAGAAATATTGATCGTTGGCTAGTTGAACTGGTTGCCGGATAATCGACAATGATTTTCCCGGCGGTGGAACGACGTTCGTATCGAGTAGCGAATCTCGAGTGAGCCGGACACCCCGCTGCGCATTTGTGAGCGGCGAGCATTGAACGCCGCGCTACCGAACGCACTAAAAGACACTTGAGGACCTCATTGTACGGCACAAAACACTGGGCCAAGTTGCAAAACGCTCGATTGTAACGAAATTCATCAGGGATCCCGTTAGTCCCGCTGCTAACCAACGCGATGCTCGATAAACAAATTTGTCGAACTTCGAAAAATCGACTGGAAAAAGAATGCGGATACTTTCGCAGATGCGGAAATAAATATCCTAAATGTTCGTCCGAAAACGGACTTGAAGGGACAATGAATACTAACGAGCGACCATCGATGTTTGCGACGCGTGCCAAAACATTTTAGGGTGACCGAAAGCATCCCTCGCCCTGAAAGTATCTATGAATATCTATGAAATTTATGGTCGGTTCGCGTGATATCGCAAAAAATCACATTCATTATCCTTTTTATTTCGGTACACAATTATGGTGCGAAGTTTCATTCCAAGGACAATTGAAATGCAAAATAAAGAAGAGGAATTGAATTTCCAAATACATGGATCGAATAATAAATCACTCATAGGGTAATGGATAAGGAGTTGTAGAAGTTCGAAATGCATATGTATACACATTGCGGTAACTCGGGGCTGTAGAATCATTCGCGTGCTTATCCGGGCGACCGAGCAAACGGAGAAATAGCGAAGGGCAGCGATCGGCCTCTTTAACGAGAATAAAGGGATCACTCACGACAAAATAATAGAGGAACGAAGCTCGGTTTCGCGTTAAAGACACTCCAAGGACTGTGTTCCTCCAGAAGGGGATAGTGTTACATTGTGCAACGAGTGCGTTCGAGAAACAACCCTGAGAATGTGCTCTTCAACCCTCAAATAGCCCGTATATGCGAACCGAGTCCTCCTCAAAATATCGGTTATAATCGAGCTTGGAAGATCGGAAGGAGAAAAAAAGAAGAAGAAAACATCTTATAAATCCCGTGACATTCAACGAATATAATTCCTTGTACGACACATCGATGGAACGCGTGAATTTCGGTTGCCCTTCTTTTCTCCGCTTCCGGTGGCAGAGAATTCGTAACTGGATCCAGCTATTTTGCTTAAAAACGGAATAATCGTGGCTTACCGAAAGCAACCCTATGGAAATACCTATGCTTAATCCTCGGTAAATCGAACGCTTTGCCTTCTGATCGCATTCAAACGTCCCTGTTCGCATGATCGAGCCGCGATGAATGACGAGGTACCTGTCCGATTCACCACGATCCGTCAAATCCGTCAAAAATATTCGTCTGCGCACGGCGACGACGAAGACGACGATGGTACACACAATCGCGACGGAACCGGGGGAATATTTTAGCGTGTCCAAGAGCAAAGAAAAAAGAGAAAAGAAAGGAAAAATCTGGCGTGTTGTTGACGAATAAATTTGTAACAGTTCGAGAGATACACTACCTGCCACAAGTTTTAGATCAACACGCTTCAAGGTTGAGCATTTTCTTTTCAAACCCTTTTAGAGACACACGGTTGTTATAATCAAAGGCGTCGAATTGTTTCTCGAGAAATTTGGCTTAAAATATTTTCAAGTATTTTTGGGAAATGACAAAAATTGTAAATAGAGTAGAAAAGAAACGCCGCGTTAAATTCGACGATCGATCTTTTGTGGAAAGTTGTAAGCAGTGGATGTGTCGCGTCGTTTCGTTCAGATTCGAATCTGAACCGCTTCGATCGCACGCAGTTTCTCCTGCCTCATAAGGTGAAAACAGATAACATCGAATTTGTCCAAACAGTGGGGGTTGCAGCCGAAGACGCAGGGGTTGCATAACGTACCCGGGATAAAGAAACGCGAGCCTCTAGTCGTTGAACATTGCTCGCTGACGCGAGGAAATTAATCATGTATTTATAACCGATCCTCTTTTTCTTGAACAAAATTTTTCAAACGGTAAATTTCCGTTTGCTTTCGCGATTGAATTTACATTTCGACAGGAAACGATCGGTTTCTATAGGGGCTCTCGTGTAAATATTTCATTAAATAAAAAAATTCACGAGGTAATTATTCGACGATTGAAAATATTCCAACTCTAACTTGACTGTAGCAACGCGATAGATGGGACTCGACTTTTCGACTCGTTCGAAGTGCGGATTCCCTAATTTTCTCGACAGCGCGCGGTCGAAATCGGTTGTTCGACGAAATTCCCCAAGTGCACTTATCTGGGTCACTTGAACATAATTCTGAGGGGACCGAGGGATGTTATTGTAGCTACCGCTGTGTTCGCACAGAGGGTGTGTCGCCGAGTGGTTGAGAAGAATCGTGAGCTTGGGAAAATCTGTCACCTTAAACGGTAAATTTCCCGAGGCAGAAGATGGATAATTATCTCTTCGATTATCAATACGGATATCGTTATTAATATCATCATGATTATCTTTATTCCATTTACCCGGCGAACGTGAAAAAACCCCCAGACCCGTGGCAAACCAGTTACAGATATTAATAAATACTCGAGCATAAATGAATATATAATTTACCGAATAATTAATCGATATCTCTCTTCAATTGATCATCTCTGCTTCGATTTTACGGCTCGTTTCATTTTCGAATCGTTTCATTCGCGAGAGGTTAATGAAGCAACAACGAGGCAATCATGTCCGGAACGTTCGCACCCGATAAACCTCGGAACGATTCACGGCAATTTGATCGAACTTTCGGTCATAATCACTTAACGACCACTCTGCGGTACCCTTTAAGCCAAGGAATCCTTAATAACAGAGCAACATCTCGGGCCAAGACCTCCAACTAGTCCGAGCCAGCTATCGGTTGCACCTTAAGTATTTTCTCAAGGATCCTATCCGCGGCGTGGAAAAGAGAACATGACGAAAACTACAGGAAAAGAGTGAAAATAAAAGTAGAAAAAGAAGTAACAACAAGGACGGCAAACGAGCCCGATCGAACCAATCGAACAGGTTCGTTGATCTCTGATTCGGTGGCTGTTTCTGATAAAGTACGAAGGTATAGTTTCTCTCGAAAATATAGTGAAAAAGGAAACGCTTATCTTATACCCTGGACCATATAAGCGCGGACCTGATAGAAAGACTCGAAATTTTCGAGCCGAATCTATAAGGCTACTTCCCAAATCGCGCTACGTTTCCGAAGCTAATTGTACATAGATCGTGTCGCCTTGATCGAACAATTTTTCGACGAGATCGCGCACCATCCTGGAGAAGAGTGAAACATGCTGCAGGCGTGTCCAGTTTCTTAAGTGTAGGTCAGTTATACCAGACCGACTGGTCTGCCGATCGACTGCCAATTAAATGGAAACCAACAACCTGTTATTTCCCGACACGCTTCTGATGCTCGCAGAAGGTCGACGTCGTTCTCGCCTTGCTTCTCCTCGCGGATCCTTTTTACGCTCGGCCATCGAGGAGGACAGCTTCGATAGAGATCTCAAACGCGGTATCTTTGACGCGCGCGACTCTTCGTTTCCGCTGCTTGCCACGCGTGTACTCCACTTTTCCTTTCGACATCCCCTGGCCAGCATTTGGAAATATTAACACTCGAAACGCAATGCATTCGACAGATTTTTCACCTCTTTTCGCTATTGCAAATAAGTTAAACAGACGTGTAGAACGTCTGAAGTAACCTCTATCAATTTAATAATAAGTGTCTCGTTTTAGTGAAAAACACTGATAACGAGAATCGTGAAATCGTGAAATAGGCCTTGGCTCATGTCGTTTGCTTTCAAATTACTCGATTCCGGCGGCCATCACCGTGATAAAACGACGCAGTTTATAAAACCTTCTTGAATTATTCACCTTTGACCACTGAATCGAGATTCATCTTAGATTCTTTGTGTTAAAGAAAAAAAGAAACCAGCTGAGAGGAATCGTTGCAATCTCGATAATTTGATCATCAGTTTTTCCTCCACAAATTCTTCTCTAATTTTTCTAATATCTTTCTAACTCTAAAATCTCGTTGCATTTCTAATCAATCTTCTCTATTATTTTCACGATACTTCATTGTTTCTCTTACCTCCAATTCCAGGTGATTGATTAACCATCGACATTTCGTAAATTATTCCATGAACATCACTGGCTTCTTCGGTATCCGTTCCTTCGTTTACAGACACCGCAAAACTGTTTTTCTTTTTTCTTTTTTTTTTTCAAGCTTTGCGCCAGAAGTGAAAGAGATTTATATACCGACTTGAACTCGGTGCACAACGGTGCGCATTAATCCATTGTCAATTGCAACAGCAGGTAACTTGCACGTTTCAGAAGTAAATCTAGCGATCGATAAGAATCGACAAATAATTTCTATGTAAATCAGAGGCACACTAACACGACCAGATATCGATTAATTAAAAGGATCGATTTTTCCTTGAAATATTTGTTGAAATAAAAAACGACAAGTATCTTACATATCTATCTCATTGAAAGTAATAGCTGGCTACTGGGTACGATTGCCAATAAAATGTACCCTTCCGAACGTGTTAACATTGATCCCGAGGTAGTAACATTCACTTGGTAACTGCGAGACGAGGCGGTGTTTGAAAAATTTCTTTGGCGCGTGTCGCGTGACGGGACAGTTTGCAGCTGCCGGATTTTTCT